ACAAAACTTGTATGCTAACAGTTAGGTTTTGTTTAATACTGAATTTAAAGCTGCTATTAATTATAAAGCTAAGAAAGATACACACAGCTTATAGATAATTAACTATATAGAGAGTGATGGCTCAGTAACTGACCCGAGGATATCTTCTGTAAATACTGCAAATGTAATTTAGTGGTATCTTTGTACATTGTTACTGTTAACACAATGCTCTCAGGTAAATAAGTATTATTTAACCAGTCAGAGAAGTCTGGAATTTAAGTTTAATAGTCTCCTATAGTGCAAAAAAAAAAAAAAAAAAAAAAGCTTATAGTGGCATTCATTTACAAATAGTGAGGATCCCAAATGCCTTCCTTGAGACCAGGGCAGGAGCAAACTGGATGTAACGTTTGTTAAAGCAGAAGGAACAGCGCAGCACAGACCCTGGTGATCCATTCTCTTTTGGTTACGGGGGAAGAAAACAAAGATAGAAGAGGAGGGAGAGGGAAAAAAAAAAAAAAAAAAAAAAAAAAGGAAAACTTTTCCAAATCCAGCAAACTTGTGCTAACTTCTTATGAATATCTGTACATAAATGATAAAATAATTGAATTCATGTTGTCAGGTCTTTTTTCCAAGTGATGAAAAAGTGATTGTACAGAAGCATGTAGCAAAAACAAGGACGGCTTGGAACGACTAACAGAGCAACGTGAAACAGCTGAGCGACTCTTAGTAGAAACACAGCAGTAACAGCTTCCATACCTGGCCTCACTGCTCTGAGATTCTGTCTGGGTCACCCAAGGCTTGTCAATATCCACTGGTCAGTTTTGATATCAAGCAATTTGTTGCCAGCTCTTCCACCACAACTGGTGCCAGGATCTGCCACAGGGCAGCAGCCTGTGTTTTACAGGTACTGCAATAGCGAGGGGACTGTCCAGCATGTGCAGGCAGCACCACTGTCATGAGACCTGAATTTTTAGGACCATTTGGATTATCGTTGTTATCCTGTTAGCACCAAGGTCAGTCACCCTTAAAACTGACATTACCATTAGCATTATTTTTATGGTGACTTCTCTGGGCTTTTCTCAGGGCATGTTTAGAGTGAGGTCTAGTAGAATTCTTTTAGAGTCACCAGGATTATGATTAACATGACTCCTAGGGTTAAGCCTATTGTTACTTGAATGATTATTTTCAGAGAATGGTCAGGGTTAATGTTTCTTTTGCTACAAACTTAAAGCATGATTTTTTTATTGCTACATTTTGAGTTGGTGATGATTTCAGAATCAGGGTAAGGGTTAGGATTGGAGTTCCATTGGAGGTTAATACAGTTATCTTCACAGCTCTTATGTGGGTTGGGGTTTGGGTCAAGTGTTTCAAAAATGAAATGGGGGGGAAAAAAAAGAATAAAAAAAAAATTACTGAAAACTGCAGATTTCCTTAATTTTTGTGGAAATAATATAGTGGCCCATGTGAAACTCAGAACTGCCTCTTTGTGCAGTGACTGCCTTTAGATTTGCTAGGGTCCAGAACTTCCTATTTTATTTCATAAAAAAAAAAAAAAAAAAATAGAACTTGGAGTGCATTAAAGGCATTTATAAACAAAGATACTAAAATACAAACAGGACAGGCAGAGAGAACACTAATATGGCCCTGTGTTTTCTGTTAATGCATTTTCATTTGATTTTCATTAAATTTGCTCAGTAGTTAGATTTTGGTGTGTAGATGTTTTAAAACAATCTAATTCACATGAGGAAAACAAATAAATAAAAAAAAGCATGACAGCGTCAGTTCAATTCCATCATTTTTTACAGATAAAGAAGAGAACTTTATCTTGTTTTTCTGAGTCTCTTCACCACCCCTCCCCCCTTTCTAACTTTTATATTTTTCTCCTGTCATGAAAAGAGAGAACGTGTGGCCGGGGGCGGCGCCGCGGATTCGCGTCAGACCTATCGGAGCAGTTGTTTCCGCGGTCTCTGCTGCCACCGCGCGGCCAATCTGAGGAAGTGCGGCCGCCTATTTTTTGGCGCCACAAGCAGCAGTACGCATGCGCACCGCCGTGCCGCGTATATGTTCTCGTCGCTCTGCGCAGCTAATCCGCCAGTCTTCTGTTTAGACCTCCAAGCAGTAGTGCGCATGCGCCAGAAGACCAATAGGACGGGTTTCTCCGAGGGTGCACGTGAGTAGTCGATTCTTGGACAGCTGGCTCAGCGATGCTCCTCCTGCTTCCAACCCAGGCTCCCCCTTGTCTATTTCCTTGTGTGAGAAATGCTTAAAGTCAAAGATTCCTTGTTAGGTAAAGATCATAGTGATAGCAGCAAAGATTATTCATTATTGCTATAACGGGTGGAAAGACTGGAAACTTCCACTGCAAAAACACAATACACCTCTCACATGTGTGCAGTCTTGCAGACCCAGAGCATCCAGGGTTGTTTCTGCTTTTGTAGTATTTGCATGCTGCAAGGTGAGCAAAAAGTTTTACTGCTTGATTGTTTTTCTCCAAGTGCTGGCTACAACTAAATGGCTGCAAGAATTGAGGATGTGATAGAAAGCATTTGTCTCCATGACAACATAGTTACATTCAGTCCAAAAAGTGTGAGAGTCAGATCGAAGTGGCAAAGCAATGACTTGCTGGAGATGATGCAGTACTCAAATGGTTAAAGCTCACAGATGTCAGAGGAATGGTGCTGTGTTATGCTCCTGCCTTTGGCAGCTCCTGGTGTTGGATGCAGCACCTTTGTATTACCCTGACTGCTGCCACCCAAACTCAGCTCTCCTTTGTTAGAAGCAGGAAAGGGAAGAGGGAAGTGAAGCAGGGGAAAGGAGATTTTGACATAATTTGGAAAATAACGTGGTTTGCTCCTCATAGTATCAAGATTGGCTTTGGATTTAACCCACAGAAACCAGAGGAGCATGACTGCATCCAACTTGCCTGAGAAACTGTAGCTGAAGAGGCTGCAGACCAAGCAGTATTGCCTGACATTGGTCAGGGTGAGCTCCTCCTGCCACAACGTGGTGATGACAGGTGTGGAGATGATCTGCACGGCCAGCTCATAAGTGGGAGCCAGCAATGAACACGGCTGAGGGAGAGAGGTGTTAGGAAGCAGCTGAGGCATCAAAATGCATCAAAAAGCCCTGAAAAGCATCACAAAGTCATAGCGAGGAAGCTTGGGATTATCATGAGCAGCATCCAGGATGCTAGAGATTATTTGCTACCATACCAAATGGTAGCAGAGCTCTCGCTGCAGACGTCCCAAAGCCAGACAAAATGGTAACCCGGAACTCTGCTGCACGTACCCCCACAGACATCACGTTGCAAGCTGAGGTGCCTTGCTGTTTGTTGCATTCATTCCAGTCCCTGTGAATGAAGACTCGGAAGGCAGTCAAGGCATTGAGTGAGCATGAGTGTGCTTTTATTGTTATGTCAAAGACAGGAGGGCGTGAGAGGTCCAGGGTAAAGATGGGACTCATCCTCTCTTGTCATGGAGAGAATGGCTCAGAGCTCTCAGTGCTGCTGCCTGGGGCTGGAAGCCTGATTCTAAGTCCCCCTCCAAGAGGCTTGGCTTCTCATCAACGATGCTGACCTGCTCCTACATGGAGGTGCTGCTGTCAGGGCACTCGGAGTGTGCTTGGGCTGGGCTGCACTGCAAAGGCACTGGGTCACAGTCCAGGCTGGTGACTGTTGTTTCTGGCAGGCTCAGGTCAGCAACTTTAGCAGAGCCAGGAGAAATGAGGGCATGAACTTGGATGAGCTCCTTGTGTCTGTCACTGTTGTTATGCAGAAGGCCATCATCTGAACCGCAGCGATTTGTGCTTCCTAAGAGCTCCCCGTTGATGGAAGCACATCATCAGTACTTGCCCCGGCTCTTCTGGGTAGACAAGGGCTTGATTCACCTAGGAAGGATACATAGGGGTTAGTGTCAAACTTTCACTGTCCAAGCAAAGTTTTGGTGTGGTCTGTCAAGTACCATTTAAGAAGCATACTAGATGCTCCCTCGCCAGCTCTAAACAACAACAACAATGAATGGAGTCAGCAATAGCTGTTAATTAAGTCTGCGCTGTTAGCTGAGCAAAGAATCCCGTGGTCTCCTTGTCACCCTAGGGAAACAAAACCGAGACAGTGACAGGCTGAATTATGAAAGTAGTCATTGACATTTGGTTATGTAGTGATCGTGGAAAGAAGTAAATAGGCTTCTAGCAATAGTGCCACTGTCTTGGAAGAAATCCTTGTGCAGGTCCAGATCTTGACTTAACATAAGACCCATTTGGGAAAGACAGGAGTTGACTGAAGTTGTTGCCAGGTACAGGCTGTAATGCTAGAAGGAGATACAAGTCCACTGACAGCATGAATTCTATGTTTCTGAAAAGCAAGGTGTTGAAACCTGTGTTGCTGCGCAACATCGACCACCGCTGAGGGGACAGACAGACAGACCAAACGACCAGTGTTCCTTCGCCGAAAGCCAATTTATTGCTGCGCAACAAGCACTTATATACCGTGATACGCGACCGCCCAGGAAACCTGCGAACCAATCCCCAATCCCATTGTACCACCCTCAACCTCGCCTGTTACCCCAACAACCTGGATTTGCACACTTACCTGCCAGGACTATGACTTCTGTTTCTGACGACTCCCTGGGATAGCACTGCAGTTGGCATTTGTCCCCAGAGGAAGGTTTTCCCAGGCTGAAGCACCAACACCAACTTCCAGCTGGTGATTCCTTCATCTTGCTGGGTGGACTTTGTCTGGAGAGAGAAAACAGTGACTGGTGTGAGTTGTGCATGGTGCAGGGTGAGGGAAGAACTGCACTGTTCCAGCACATGGAGTATCTGAGCTCTTCCCAACAGTTGTTTGTTCCTGGCACCACCTGGTTTCTGCTGAAACACAACTTAGAAACTCACTCTCTTTCAAGCAGTTGAGGATGGTTCCATTCTTATAGCTCAGCCCTGAAATCTTGCTGGCTAAATTCCCCAAAACTGTGTCAAGCAAGTTGCAGAGCACGTGAGCAAAGGCTTCGCAGCTGTACAGGACAGCATTTAAGGGATGGCTCTTCTCAAGCTGGCAGGCATAACTGCTTTCTGAGGAACTGTGCAGCCATAAAAGTTCAAAAGCATCTCTGACTCTGACATTAACACCTCATTAGCCCCATCTCTCTGCCATGTTTAGTTTCTAGTGCCAGCAAGTCTGACCAACAGCTCTGCTTTGAGGAGAACCGGAATTGGTTTCAGGCACTTGAAATCCGGAGAACTCCAACGTTTCCACGTACAGCCGGCACAGGACTGCCTGCCCAGGAAGGAAGGAATGACAGCCTTGTGTGTCTAAATTGAGCCCGTCGGGCAACTGAATGTTAGTTCAATCTCACAGTCCAAAGGGAGCAGAGATTCACTGCAACACTTCAGGCACCATTAGTTTAATTGAGTTTCAGCAGGTTTGGCACTAGAAATAATGGGGAAAACAAAACAAAACAAAAAGCCACAAAAACCCACCCAAACAATGATGATAGGTGCTGGAAAAGGAAGTCTTCTTTACCTTTCAGATGGAAAGTTAACGACTGTGTGGAATTTCCCTGGTAAAGATGCGGGGCCTTCTTCCACTTCTATGTCCCTGCTCTCTGTCACGACGGAAGAGCTGCTGTGGCCTCGCCTCTGAGCCTGTGCCTCCTCCAGAATGAGCAGCTCTGTGGCAGGAGAAGACACCCACACAGACTTGGGCCCGGAGAGAGAACTGTCCCCTGTAAAGGAAAACCACAGGTAAGAGCGAGGATCAGAAAGCAGCAGCATAGCCACCACAGTTCTGGGGGAGGCGCTGTATTTTTCTCAGGTTTGCTTATCTGAGCCACTGGAAGAAGAGGAGCTCAAAATAACCATGTGGTCAGAGGTGTGTTTATGGCAAAGGACAGTCATAATTAACGAGCGGCTCACTGTATCGAAGCAGGCAAACAAAATCCCTAGAAACTGGGGGCAGGAAACTGAGAGAGCTTCACCGCCACACTTTCATCAAGCTTCTCCTGCGTGCAAAACATCATAGTGTCCGTGTCGGTTTTCTTCTTGTCAAGTTTGGGTTTGCACATTCTCAGCATCCAGCAACAGGATGCCATGTTCTAATCTAAGCCCAGAAGTCTGCTGTCCCCTCAATAGTAAAAGTGTATTTCAGAGGTCTTGGAGAAGGCCTGCATTTGATCGAGGTGTCTGATCAAGATAAAGCTCATGGAGGAAGACACTCACCTGCTCCATCTGCAATGTCAGGTCGGGACTTGGAGCAGAAGAGGAAGTCTGTGTGGTTGATGATGAATTCCACCACAGCTGACTGCATCTGCAGTTCCATGCAGACAGACTCGTTCTGCTGTGATCTGTAGAAAAGGCAGGTTTTAGAAGTCACTTCTCCAAGATAGTTTCCCCAAGTCTGAATTGTTGCAGCCAAAGTCAAATTGGGCTTTGGAGACTTCCGCAGTGGGCAATCAGTGATGCCACTGAAGAAATTCTCCTGGCTGATTAAGGACAAGTTAGTCCCATCTAAACAAGAGAGCAGAAATGGTCTTCTAGAAATTGTGCCCGTGGGGTTGGAGAACAATCCAGGCTCCCCGTCTACTGTCAGCCACTTACTACAGATTTTACAGGAGAAGAGCACATTTGGTGGAGAAAAAGGGAGGATTGCTTTATTTTACTGGAGAACAGATCTAAGCATTCTGTTGAAATGGAAGAAGTTTACCTTAAGAGGTTAGGAGCCCACGCAATGGCTAAGTTCTTAGCATGCAAGTTTGTGATAGAGCAGTTCTCAGCTGGACACGCCAAGTGTCTCATCAAGTACTCCAGTGCCCTGGAAAACAAGAGAGGCAAACATTCAGCACCAACAAGCATGCCGTGCTGCAATTCACAAAGCAAACCTCTATTCAAACCTTGATTGCCGAGGATTGCCGCTTCGGAGCTGGTCCAGCCAGAAGCGCAGCGACTGATCGCGAGGTACAAGGGGGTTTCAGTTGGTTCCCTCACTTAGGGATCCCCGAGAGAGCAGAGTAGTCGGGCAGCTCTCAGCCGGGCAGTTCTCGCGAGAGTGGACGTCGCGGCGGGGGCGTTGCCAGGGCAATGGTTCCGCACCCACCCCTCCTTGCTTTAAAAAGCCTCGGGGAGGGCAGTGACGCGTCGCTGTCCACCAGAGAAGGTGTGTGGGAAACACCTGGGCTTATTTGTTGAGGAGAATCAGTAAGCCACTCCTGCACGGAACTCCCCAGCAAGGACGGTTGTTATTGCCAGGGTGAGTGATAAGTGCGGGGGCTCCTGTTAACGACCCGGCAACGGTGCGGGGGCAGTGCCAGCACTACCGGCAGCAGGGCGGGCCTGATCAGGCATACCCCGTTAAGGCTATCTAATAGTATTAGTGTGCCTGCTGGTTGGCAATGCCTGCACCCCGGAGGAAGGCTAATACCACCAGCCTGTTCTATTACGACACCAAGCTGAATGGTGCGGTTGACACGGTTGAAGGACGGGATGCCATTCAGAGGGACCTCGAGAGGCTAGAAAGGTGGGCCCGGGTGAACCTGATGAGGTTCAACACGGCAAAGTGCAGAGTTTTGCACTTGGGCCGGAGGAACCCCAGGCATCCCTACAGACTGGAAGGAGAGGTCCTTGAGAGCAGCCCTGTGGAGAGAAGGACCTGGGGGTCTTGATGGATGAAAAACTTAACATGAGCCAGCAGTGTGCCCTTGCGGCTCGGAAGGCAAATGGTATCCTGGGCTCCATCAGAAGAGGGGTGGCCAGCAGGGACAGAGAGGTGATTGTTCCCCTCTACTCTGCTCTTGTGAGGCCCCATCTGGAATACTGCATGCAGGTCTGGAGCCCCCAGTACAAGAAAGAAAGAGAGCTGTTGGAGAGGGTCCAGAGGAAAGCCACAAAGATGACCATGGGACTGGAGCACCTCCCATATGAGGACAGGCTGAAGGAGCTGGGCTTGTTCAGCCTGGAGAAAAGAACCTAAAGAACCTCCCTCATTACCTAAAGGGAGCCTACAAACAGGAGGGAAATCAACTCTTTGAAAGGGTGACAGCAGGACAAGGGGAAATGGTTTGAAGTTGAGGGAAGGGAGATTTAGGTTGGACGTCAGGGGGAAATTCTTTAGGGAGAGAGTGGTGAGGTACTGGAACAGGCTGCCCAGGGAGGTTGTGGATGCCCCATCCCTGGAGGTGTTCAAGGCCAGATTGGATGGGGCCCTGGGCAGCTTGGTCTAGCATTAGGTGGAATGGTTGGTGGCCCTGCCTGTGGTGGGGGCGTTGGAGATTCATGATCCTTGAGGTCCCTTCCAACCCTGGCAATTCTGTGATTCTGTGATTCATGCTAGTTGTTATTGCTACTGTCACTGAAGATGAAGTAGATACAACTTGACTAAGTGCCACGCTGCAGCACCAAGCCCCAGCACAGCCACAGCCATCAGCTGCACCAAGCGTGCAGCCCCCGTGCCCAGGAACCGACCCCATAAATTAACCCCATGTAGCCTAAACCGCTTCAGCATACACAGGCATCACGTTTCTAGCTTCAGACAAAGCCTGGAATCGCACCATTGCCCTCTGAAATGCGGCAGGGCTGAGCTCAGCAGACTGAGGGCAGCACTGACCTGTAGTGATGAGCGGGCAGCTGCTGGATGACGTCCTGCATTCTGACCAGCCACTCCTCATCTGTAGTGGCACCAACAGCATCCTGGAATAGTGCGGAAAGGGATTGAGACACAAATCAGGCTAGATACTTGCCGCAGGGTCGGGAACTATGGGGACAGCGCGCTGTTGGTCAGCACCATGAGGCACATTTGATGCCTTCCAAGAGGCATCTGGGGAATCTAGCGGCATGCAGCTGGTGCCACCAAGGCCAAGGAGTCCAAGCACCAGGCTGATTTACAGCCTGGTTGGGCAGCTCAGCTCCTCGCAGTGGCCATTCATCTCCAAGTACACTTTGCTACTGATCCCATTCCCGTTCTGTAAATAGTTGGGGAATAGCAAAAAAAAAAAAACAAAAAAAACAAAGCAGGAATTCTCACAAACATTGTGATATATGGAAACAACCACCTCCTGGCACCACCAGAAGTGGCATCAGTATGATGCAGGATGTGGCATAGACATGCGAGTAAACCTCATGGGGCTAACAGAAAAAGGACCTCAGAGCTGGGGCACTGCTGCAGCCATCTGCCAGGAGGCCCAGGGAAGAGGTAGAGGAAAGATGTTGCCTTGTGCTTACCGAGAACTTGTCATACAGCTGGTCAGTGAGCAGAGGGTTTGGGAGCTCCCTGAAGTACATCTTGCAGAGGGAGCTCGTGCTGTGAGTGTCATGGACGGTTAGCTCAGAAATCTTCTCAGACTCAAATTCATGGCTGGAGAGAAGAACACAAAAATGGTTGAGAAAGAGGAAAGCAAGTAAAAAGCCATGCCAAATGCCATCAAGAATGGGAAAGGCTTCCTGATATACAGGAGAAAACAAACACTCGGTCACCAGTGCCACGTGAGCCGTGCTGGATGAGATGTTTCCCAAAGGAGAACTTTTCTTTTTGCTAAGGCATTTCCCACAGGCCTCAATGCCTGCAACAGGGCACGCGCCCCTACTGACCGCTGTGTCAGTCACAGCGCTCTTACCACAGTCTCTGGATGTTGGATGCGGTGCCGGACAGCTGGTATATCCCCTGCACCACGCCGTGCTGCTCAATGAACTCGGCGCAGCTCTGGAGGACCTGGGGGACTAAAGAACACGTGCCAACGGTTACTTGAGCTCCTCATTCAAGTCCTGGTTCAGGCTGTGCTCCCATCACATCCCATCCACTAAGTCCAGCCAGGCTTGGTTGAAGCAAATACAAATGTCCTTGTCTCTTAGGAGCATTCGCCTCACTTTATCCTTCAGCCATCAACTCCCATTACACGCGTCTCCACTGCTATCAACCTGCCCCCTGCTAGATATGATCTCCCTTTCATCTTCTTCAGATGCCCAAGAGAGGAAGATCTCAGGAATGGGCTGTTCCTTACTGTCACGACCAGAGTGGAGAAAATGCTCTCCCAGGTCACAGCCAAACACCCTTTCCTTCTCCACCTCCCGCTCGGTCGGTTTCTTTGGGCAGGCCTTCACCAAGGAATGAAGGAAGGTAAGGATCTTGCTGCGTTTCTTGGGCACTGCACAACAAAAGGAAGAAACCAGGTCATTTCAGGTTTGGCTCAGTTGGACGAGGCCGAGCACAGCACATTCTACAGAGCATGTTAAAACGGAAGAACATTACTAACAAGTATATACAAAAAGGGATGTTCCCCATGCCTGGAGGAGCCCAAGGCCAGGTGGGATGGGGCTCTGGGCAGCCTGGTCTAATCTGACATTAAATGTGGAGGCTGGCAGCGCAGCCTGATACAGGGAAGTGAAAGCTTAATGATCCTTCAGCTCCCTTCCATCCCAAGCCAGTCTATGAAGATCCTATAATTCCCCCAATTCCAGTCATAAACACATGAGGATTGGGCCAAATCTCTGCCCCGTGGTGTGCATGAAGGATCATCAACACAGAGGACAATGTGGGATGGATAAAGGAGGTATTAAATATGGAACACACTCCCAAAAAACCTTATTTTTCTTCCCCACACCATCAAATGTAACATCCGTACCTGGCTTTGGCACTGAATTGATGAGAGCCTCAGGAACATTCTTATTAATGAGTTCCACACACTCCCCTGGGAAAAATCCAACCTGTAACAAGAACAAAAAGAGAGGCCAACTATTGCATGCTGCATTTCTCAGGTCTGAACTGTTAAACCAAAAGCCACGTAACATTTCCCTTGGAACGTGCTTGCCTGACACTCTGTAAAACTATCCAACAGAATATGGCCTGCATAAAGGTAATAATTTTTCAACATTTGCAGCCAAAGGCAAGGTCCTCTGACACTGACATAGGGAAACCGTTTACGTCCGTTAGGCATCCTGTGCAGGCAGAGCAGCTCTAAGCTGAGTTTCCTGCCTTCACTTAAGTTGCACTCTCCAGTCTGAAGCTTGTGCCTACCTGAAAGCCGTGCTTGCCTCTCCACCAGGGGGTCAGCTCCTTTGGTGGCATGTCAGTGACACACACAATGTCTCCCACCTGCAAGAGATTGCAACGTCAATCCCAGCTTCAGCACGGCTGGGAGGAAAGCACAGCTCAAATGACCGCATTCTTCTGCACTGCCAAACATCGCCGAGCTTGAGAGCAATTGCACCAGTGCAGCTCTGAAGGCATTTGCCGTTGTACAACTGAACTTGGAGGTAGAAGTGTCACTACGTTACACAACATACAGAATACAGGTGTGCAGTAGGAAATGATTCTCAACAGCAGCAGGGTATGGAAGAGTTCCAATTAAACCGCACACATAAGGTGGCAGGGCTTCCTGAACAGATCTACACACTCCATACACTGGTCTGCTGTTGCTCAGGCACTAGGCTACAATACTGGGCAGTATCTGTTTGATCAGAAGATTCAGAAGCCAAATAAAGCCATATTTTAGAGATGGCTGAACTCCTCCCTGCATCCAACCCAGTGCAAGTCTAATCTGGAACTGAATCTTTTGAGCTTCGTCTCACAAAGCATTCTGAAGGTGTCTGAGAATATTCCTTATGCATTCACACCTTATACTCTTCTGTACAGGACAAGGAACGCCTTTAACTGCTTACCTCAAAGGAGAGTTCATCCGCTGCCTGGCAACGTATCTCTTAACAACATGGGCAGCAGCAACAGCTGGAATATTCACAGCTGACTCCTCATGGACCAGCAGGGGCTTTCCCTAGTTCTCAGTCTGAAACAGAGAGCACAGGCCACGGTGAGGAGCTGAGAACAAACAGGGAGGATTTCAAGATGAGGAGCACATCTGCAGAGGAAGCTGCAGGAAATGCACTTGGTCCTTATCATGGGCACATAAGAAGGAACTGCAAGTCTAATAACAGCTGTGTCTCTTCCTGGTGTGCAGCAGGCACAAGCCAGGCAATGCAAAGATGCATCTCTCCCCACCCAGACTAATCAGCAATGGCACTGAGGCAGACAGGTGGCCTTGTCCATTTTGCCCCATCCTTTCCTGCACTCTTTGTCCAGGAAGGTTGACTGCTTAAGATGCTAGGAGACCGTGAAGAGGGAAATGAAAGCTACGGCTGCAGTTACAGGGTGCAAACAGTGCCATTGCAAGCACAAAGCAGCTCTCTTGAGCAGTTCAACCAACAGTGAGGCCAAACAGGAGCAGAAATGTTTGTTGTTTCTGCAGCTATTTCAAGGGAAAAATCAGTAGAGGACAAACACCACAACCGAGATGGCTCTGGTAGTTTTATAAACTTGCCACATTTGCACTACTGTCTTGCCAAAGAGGAGCATAAGGAGCCGCAAGGATTCGGCCTCTCCTGAAAAGCAGGAGAGCACATCTGTGGCTCACTCTGCTGGCTCCAGTCAGGGAACAAAGACCAATCAGAGCTTCATACTCTACCTCTGCCCATGCCAGGTCAGGCCCACAGCTGATCTTGCTGCACGCCACGGCCATCAGCGTGGGTGTGACAAGCTGGAACTGAAAAGAAACACACTTTTATTTTCTCTGTTCACACACCACACTATTGAGAGACTTCTTCAGAACTACCCTCAGTTACCCACTGGCAGGTGTTCTAGAAGCAACCACTTTGTTCCGTCAATTCAAACGTGGCAGCCTATTACGCAGCATCTTCACAAGTCGCTATCCCTCTGCTAGCAGGTGGGGACTCTGGCACAAAGCAGCACATGCATTTGCCCAGAGCTCTCTGACAGCACAGTAGCAGGGCAGTGAGAGTTGTCACTGCTGGGGTGGATCTGCTCCACAGCCCTCATCTCCCAGCAGCCTCACCACCAGCACCTGCCCAGCCTTGCACATGGATTTCCTCTGCTTGCATCTCTGCTGTGTCCCCACAGCTGTCAGGCACACTCACACAGCCGAAGCACGCCTGCTGGTGTCCCTGGCTGATGCTGTGCAGCTCTGCACAAGCTGGGGCTAGGACTCTTTGCCTAAGGGATTGGTTTCGTTAAGACCAGCTGGTCACAGCACCACAGACAGCATCCTTCTGAGGGCTGAGCTGGAGAGCAAGTGGAAAAAACCCACACGTGACCAGCGTCCCATCAAGGCTGGGTGAGGCTGTGTTACTAAACGTGGGGCGTTACGGGCTGCTAAAGCATGTGGGGGACAAACCATGGCAGGTACCTGGCAAGAGATCAGAATGAGGTAGACAAATGCCTTGAATCCGCAGCCGTTCCTTGTCACTTTGCTCTGATCTTCCACGAGCAAAAGCTGCACCAGGGAAGCAGGCAGAGGGTGGAGAGAGGAGAGAGAAAGAGCGGGTCAGTGAGCTTCCACAATTTAGCAAAGACAATGAGGGAAAAGCCATGGGACAAATGCCTCATTTATGGATCGCTTCAGAATGCATTTATTGGGCGAAAATTACACCTGATGGTCAAGAGTAAGCAATATCAGAGAATCACAGAATGGCCAGGGCCAGAAGGGACCTCAAGGATCATGAATCTCCTACCCCCCTGCCACATGCAGGGCCACCAACCTCCCCATTTAATACTAGACCAGGCTGCCCAGGGCCCCATCCAACCTGGTCTTGAACACCTCCAGGGATGGATGGGGCATCCACAGCCTCTCTGGGCAGCTGTTCCAGCACCTCACCACTCTCTCTGTAAAGAATTTCCCCCTGACATCCAACCTAAATCTGCCCTCCCTCAACTTCCAACCATTTCCCCTTGTCCTACTGATATCTATCCTTTCAAAGAGTTGATTCCCCTCCTGTTTGTAGGCTCCCTTTAGGTATTGAAGGCTGCAATGATTCACCCCGCAGCCTTCTTTTCTCCAGGCTGAACAAGCCCAGCTCCCTCATCCTGTCCTTGTAGGGGAGGTGCTCCAGTCCCCTGGTCATCTTTGTGGCTTTCCTCTGGACCCTCTCCAACAGCTCTCTTTCTTTCTTGTACTGGGGGCTCCAGCCTGGACACAGTACTGCAGATAGGGCCTCACAAGAGCAGAGTAGAGGGGCACAATCACCTCCCTGTCCCTGCTGGCCACTGCTGCTCTAATGGAGATAATATGATCCTATGAGCTCCGCCAGCCAGCAGTTCTCAACACTCACTGTCCCCCCGTCTCTCCCACACTGTTTCAGCTTACCTACAAGGTGTTGCACAGGACGATGTGAAGACAAAGGTACTCAGTCGGTGCACAAGTGCAACAAGCGAGCTGCTCAGTCAGAGCTCCAGCGCTCCAATGAAGGGATGCAGCACGCACCGCTCCTCCCCTCATTCTGGCCGCTTATAACATCACTGAGGGCCACCAGGCTGCTCCACCATGACAGACAAGGTGGGGAGGCAAGTCCACATCACAAGACCAGAATATTCCAACAGCCCACCCCAACATTCTACAATCAGTGGGTGCTTGGAATTCTACCTCAGCCAAATCCTGGAGAAGCTGGCACGGGGTTGTCATGACCAAAGCGCAGGACCTGGTGGTTGCTCTTGTTGAGCCTCGTACAACTGGCCTCAGTGCATCCCTCTGCAGGGCCTTCCTGCCTTCAGGCAGATGGACACTTCCTCCCAGCAGCGTACCTTGCAGTGCTCCACACTAGAGTCCTTTTTTTTTCTTTTTTTAAATTCAAGGGCATGTTACAGCACCGATCTATTTCACCTGTAAGGAAATAAAGGAGGAGATGGGAGAAACACAGAACTACTGCCAGACTGCTTTATCACTTTCTTACCCCAACTTCCCTTGCCTCATCCCCTACCCCAACTCCTGGATGATGCCCACAAGCTGATAGTTGGATTTCAAATCCATGGAACTCCTTTGACAGGACTCCATCAGAAAGGATGTCACACTTGTTCCATACACTCAAACTGGCCCAGCAGTGGTATCACAGTCACTTAACACACACAGAAGCAACCAAACCCCAAGCATGCACATCCCTTCCTGCGATACTGGAGCCCACAGTTCACCTTCACACCTCCATGGATTTCTGATGTTTTACACTGATGCAGCCTTGCTGCAGCTCCGTGGCTGTCACACAAGGCCTGCAGGACCTCTTTCTCTGCAAACCCCATCTGCAGACATTGGTTCATGAGGTTCACCTCCTGCCCTCCTGAGCAAAAACAAGCACTAAGAACAAGAGCAAAGCACACTGGACTCGACCTGGCCCGATCCCCAACCCTCAGTCCTGTCAGACGTACCCTGGTGTGGAGACTCATCCCCAGAGCCTGGCTGGACATCAGCACAGGCATCATTCTTCAAACGCCCCATCCAAGCAGCAAGGGATCAAAGCGCTGGGACAGCTGAAACAAAAATGCTGTGCGAGTTTCCTGTTAGCACTGAACATGAACAAATCTACCACTGAGCAACAGGATGTGAGACAAGCAGCAGAAGACACCCAACCTGCAGAACCAGCTCATTTGGGGTCAGTCCAGATGTTTGCCTGCTCCCTTCCATGGCCCAGGCCAAGCTTGCTGAGCTGCTCCTCCTTTGTGCAGGGGGAAAAGGTGCAGATGCCATGTGGTGGCTATGCACAGCACGCCTTTGACTTGCTTTTCCTCTCTCCATCTTCCATTAGCAAACAGCATCTCAAACCTTTCCTTGCTAAAAAATCACTTAGGTAAAAATGAACTGGCAGGCTTGCTTTTTAAACTACCTTTCTTATACAGCTTGATCCTTTAAAGCAGAAGCTCACCAAGCAGTGACCTAACTTAGACAAGCTCAACCTGCAGGGAAAAGTGATTCCTCTGTGTCTGTAGACTTTGCACACATTTCCAGGTGCAGTAGTCACCCCAGTTCTCAGCACAGCTTTACCAACCACAGAAATCCAGTTTGTGCCCACCGTGCTTTTCTCTCTTCTGAAACACTGCACTGCTGCAAGAAGAAACAATTAAAACCACAGAATCACAGAACTGGGCTTGGAAGGGACCTGCAGAGATCACTGAGTCCAACCCCTGCACAACGGGCTCCCTACAGCAGGCTGCACAGCTGGGCATCCAGGCGGGTCTGGAACATCTCCAGAGAAGGAGAACCCACAGCCTCCCTGGGCAGCCTGTTCCATGCTCACCGTGAAGAAGTTCCTTCTCATATCGGTGTGGAACTTCCTGCTATGTAAACAATTCTGAAACACACTGTCTATACTATAAAAAAATATTAAATCATGCTCTTCTGTATTTTGGAGGTTTTACATGGCACAGACTTATTGTATTTTCTTATTAAGTTTTTTCCAAGTCTTTCTCCCAGTTGAGAGTACTGATGGTAGGAAAAAATTCCTGAGAGCTCATCTCCCATCTAATTAACATACCCACGTATGCCAAAGCATTCTTCTGATGCCACTGCTGTACCAGTGTGCAGTGATGGCTCTGTTTTACCAGAGCACTTGGTATGATTCTTGTTTAACTGTTTCTGGAAAATAAAGGTAGGGAAAGTCCAAAATGACATAACTTTTCATTAAGATTAATCCAATTCTAAATCATTCAAATGAGATCAAGACACATCAAAAGCAAGCATTTTCAGGGTCTGTAAGAAGATGAGAACTTGTAACTCCCAAATTTTTAGCCTAGGCAGAAATTCAGGCCTGCATTTCTTGTCAATTTCCAATATTCCTTACCCAAATCCCAGTGACACTGGACCTGACTAGTTCTGTACTTAACTAATGCTTACAAAGAAGGAAAATATGACACTTGTTGGAAGGGAGGTCACAGAAATCTCCAATCAACAACCATTGCCCTCCAAAAATGTTAGATCTTTAGACGTATAAGAACAATGTAAGAGTTCTTTCTTATTGCTAGGTGATACCCTGAGTTTAGGAAATTTTTCTAAGAATAGTGAAAAAAAAAAGATATGATAAGGGGTACTTAAAGCACAACATCTGTAATCAGATCAGGCTCCTGCATTGTGAATACTTCCATGAGTATTCCTGCAGAGTACATCACTTAGTCTCTTTTTAGCCTTGTGTTCATGGTTTTCCTGTAGGAGCTTTTCTAAACACTGCCTATAATCGTGGTTATGCTAGAAGCATTTGGATTTATTGATCCTTAGTGTGATTTGAATAACAAATTTAGATGGCTTTTTTTTTTTTTTTTTTTTTCCCCTAAAAATTTGATGAGTGGCCTGAAAATTGTTTGCCTAAAATAACCTTTAAAGACACGATGGCAATTTGTGGATTCAACATCCAGTAATTTCCTCAGTAAGCTCTGTTTTTAACTTGTTAGAGCTAGCAGTAGGAATCTGACAGGTTTGATTTACAGATAGCAAGGGTAACTACAGGTCCTACTACATCATCATGAGCTGACACAGCAGCTGCATAAAGAATAACCCAAACCAACAAGATATTTTAAAACCCAGATCCTCCTTTCTCAGCCTCAGTGAAGCACAATGTAGAGACAAAAGTTAAGAACAGCTTTCAGTTTTTCAATTGAAATTTCAGTATTGCATTCGGTGTTGACAACCATGGGGGTACAGTACAGAGAATTACAAGAAGATTAATTTCTCCATCTCCATGCTTCTAGACATTTATGATTACAGTAATTTAGTTATATACAAACTTTGCAAGATATCCAAGCTAGAATAACCTCTTGGTGTTGTGAAATTAAGGTTCATAAATACAAATTACAAAATTCTATGAATCTGTGATTCTGAATACAAGAAGTGACTCCACTCTGAGCAGAAATGCCTATTAATTGTGTTTATTCCTTAAACTTCTGAATTTTCATTTCACTAGTCCCTCCAGAAAGAAAGAAAATCTCAGACCCTCACAATAATTCCAGACAGACATTCCTGATAATACGATTATTACATCAGACCTGGATAAAGGCAAATAGAAAGTTACTCAGAATTAGTGAAATGATTGGTAGCATAGCACTCATCTCCTCTGGCAAACAAGTTAGGTGTTAGATTGATACCTGGCAATTAATTCAGTCTTCAGCACTTAATTCAGAGCTTTCAGGACAGCGATGTTCTGTCTAGGGAAGGTTGTTTTTACTACAGAAGCAGGATGTCTGGAGCCCAAGTGCAGAGTCTCAGTGTTCCACAAGCCTTGGAGAGGTGCACCGTATGTGCTGGGGCTGATGACACAGACACTGGAGCAAGGCCAAGGTGATATTAGAAACTTGACCAGCAGCTGATCTTTTGTAAACCATTTCTTGACACAAACGGGATCTGGTCCACTTAGGACATCACCTTTAGGCTGGAGAGCAACTCCCAGAGGAATCACACAAACACTGAAGACGGTTTGCAAGAACCCCATACAAAAACAGATCATCTGTAATCAGTTTTTAATCTGTACAACAGTCATTGGAACAGGCACACACTTTCTGAAATTGCAGGAATGTTCACAAGTGGAATGTATATCACCTGTGTGCTCTAGCTCTTCTGTGTGCATGCTAGGAGCAGTGATCCCCCATGCACCCAGTACTGCAATAAAGTCATGTTGGCTTTCTAACCTGCCAACCAGCAGCCCAGGCTGCCCAGAGCCACATCCAGCCTGGCCTTGGATGCCTGTAGGGATGGGGCATCCACAGCCTCCTTGGGCAACCTGTTCCAGTGCCTCACCACCCTCTGGCTGAAAAACTTCCTCCTAACATCCAACCCAAGCCTGCCCTGGCTCAGTTTAAAACCATTCCCCACTTGTCCCATCACTATCCACCCTCCAAAACAGAACACCTAGGCTGTTCAACAATGAAAGAGCAAAATAACCAACAGCTCTTACTTCCACTGTATGCATTTAATTCCAAACTTAAGGTCACAGGTTAATTAATCATGTGATCATTCCTGTTAGAAGAACCACTAATAGAGACGTGTAGAAGTAAGGAACAGTTTGAAAAGGTCATGTACATATTAGAACTTGCAACATTTATCTTAATACATGCCTATATTGCAAAGAATTTTATAAAATGTCTGTTACAAGTACTGTGGGTTGGATTACACTATATCAAACTCGAAGAATAATACAGGATGCTTTTAAATCTACACTTATATGTTTTCTTCTAACTCCTTGATAAAATTCCTTGTTACCTTCAGCTTTATAGCCAAAGCAGTGTTTGAGCTTGTAATGTATTCTTGAATGGCATTATTGCCTTTAATATTTGTATGTTTAGATATGAAAAGAGAATTTGGTCATTATTTCATGATGAGAGAATCTTGATTTGTCACAACAGAATTACAAATACTGTAAAAGTAAGAATGTGGCTTTTCTCTTTTTTTGGGGAAGGGGGGGGGGGAGATTGGTGAGTGTATGATTAATTCAAGATGAAAATGTTGTTTGTAAGTCGATCTCTCTACCTGTTTTGGAAAAATATATGTTTTTATTTCTCATTATTTAAAAATTGTCAGGCGTGAAGAATCAGGAGGCCATTCATGATACAAGATTAGTAAATATCTCACTTCAAGATTAGAGATAATTCT